TCTGGCTGCACATTGCAGCTCTGTGTCTGAGACAGCAGGAAGAAGACGGAGTGGAAGAGAGAAGGGGAGGACAGAATAAAAGCAGCAAGAGAGATAAAATGTGGTAGATGAGAGAAAAAGGAGAAAGGTAAAGGTGATGAACAAAGAATAAAGTACAGAGCGATGCTGAGGGAGAGTGTGAATGAGACAAACAGAGCAGCTCACTGTGCCATGTCCATACTGCCTGCGATGGCAGTGCCAGGCATAGAGAGGAGAGTGAAAGAGACAGAGAGTGCGACAGAGTCTGAGGATGAGCTCTTGTAGTCTGTCTTAGAAAAGAAGACTTAATCCACAAGACTGGCTCGGCCAAGAGCTGGAAGGATTGCACTTCTCTTGACTCCTTCACTCCTCAAGAGATGCTGCTGCTGTCACTATTATTGCTGCAGCCCCACTTGTCCCTCCCTCCTCGACTCTCCCTTAGCTAGGTCTATTCTGCAAATGCAAACTTGTCAGAAAAATAACATCACGCAAGCACAGGCTGTACAGCACACACAGATACACTCCGGCCCACAGATACACGGGTAACAGAGAGCAGCAGGGTTGTTAAATAATTCAGTGAGTATCCAGCGGTGGAAGGTGAGCCGGTACCGGTAAAGGGTTACCCTAACAACAGCAGCACATGGGCCAATGACGCAGTGGAAGAGTGGAAGTGAGAGAGCAGAGGACAGGCACATTTTAATGAAATGTGTACGTACATACACACGTACACACACACACACACACAAAACTTGGGATGCACGCCTATTCACACACTAAGCCAAACAATGCAGTACTGGAGCGGTATCTGTAGAAGGGGTGTGCTCATAGAGCACATGGTATAGGTCCCCACCCCATTCCCCACTTAAAGAGCCATCAGCTATTTGATACACCACAGCTGTATAGTAAATAAGGAAATCCTTCAATTTATGTCTGAGTGGTCTTTAGAGCTACAGAGTGACACAAATGTAATGAGCATGAAGCATAGGCAGTATTTACAGAAAATCTGGAGAGCACTGTTGCAGCTGCACAGCAGTAGTTGCAAAAATACCAACCACTCTCTATTTCCGCCATCTCAAACATGAGGATTTGCTGCTTTTGTTAAATTTGTAAATTCACCTTTGTGTTTTATACCAACTTAAACAAGAAGATTTAATAATAATAATAATAATAATAACATCAAGAAAAATAAATAGCAAAATATAAACACGCACACACAAAAAAACAACCCCATTATCCCTGTTCCCCGCCCCTCGTCCCTAAGACTATTATTAAGGTCATTTTAAGTTGTTTCATGCAACTGAGATCTTGTTTCATGGAACAAGAAGATTTATGATATTTAAATCCTCAAAATGAATTGATCAATCAAAGAAATAAATGACAATTTAATCGATAATGAAAATCATCTTTAGCTGCCGTCCTGCACTGCAGTAACCTGAGTTGTGCTTCACTTTCATTTGGCAGAAATAAAGGGGCAACTAAGTTACCACAGTAATTAGAGACCACATAATTGGAGGCCTGTTCAATACCAATGCAAACACCAGCCTGAACAACCTGTATTAGTCTTGTGTGCTTGTGTGCGCTTATCTCACATCTACCGAAGCAAATACACACGGAGATTAAACAACCAGCATGACAGCTTGAATTCTTAAAGCCACTTAGGACGCGGTGGCTCAAAACATCAAGGTGATAAAATGATTACAGACACAACCTCTGATAGGCATCTTGGCTCAAACACATTACAGGTGCACTTCTTCTTGTAGTTGGCCTAGATTTACATAAGCTTTTGCAAAGAGAATAGCCCAGTGAGTAGTCTGGCATTCTGAATATGTGCTAATAAACATACGTGGTACATACAGGAATTCAGGGCAAGATTAGCTACTTCATCTCCCTGGGGAGCACATGCTGTACAAACACACACAGTCATGGAAGAGCAATCTGATCTTTGTCCCTGCAGGATAGAGTAATTCTACACTCAGACTTTAACCGGATAGGCTAGGCCACACACCCTTTTCACACCTAATGAATGTGTGTATGAGAGACACACGTATGGGAACAAATGAACTATTTTGGCTGCAGATACATTTAAAAAAAAAAAATCAATTATATATGTTTATTATTAAGTCTGAATCTACAGATAAACAGCTGTTTTTGTCAATTTGCCTACTTCCAGTAAAGCACATGATTGTCTTTCATGTGAATGCACATAGGCTGTGACTTTGTGCATCTGTAGGTAGAAGGACTGCAGGACAGGCTGTGCCTCTCGCTAATCGGGGCATACGTGGACAGTACTACTGTGAATACCTTCAGGACAGCAGCAACAATAAGCTGAACGCCAGAGGCTACCTAAAGAGCAAACCCTAAGACCACATGCAACTCCCATAAAGAAAGGAAATGGCTGTAGGATGAATATATCAGCAGGATGAAACAATAAGGTTTATAAATGCTGTCTATCATTAAAATAAGGGCCATTTGATGTAAAGGAAAGAATACAAGTAAAGATTTGGATTGAAAGGAGGAGATTAGAGGTAAACTGCAATAGATTTGCACCTGGCAACATGCTGGCAGTAGGAAACCAGTCAGGAGTTCATTTATTTTGCTCCAGAGTGAGAAAAGACATAATAAGCATTTTTGTGCAGGCATATTGTGGGGCAACTAAGAGATGTCACAGATTGTCCTGTAGGATAAAGTGATCACAACATAAAAGCCAGATTCACGCATCTTGTAGAGCTCACAGCAGCATGGGAATATAAGATAAATAATGCACACGGAAGGAGATTGTTTATGAATAATATGTTAGCAGCAGGATTGTAAAGCTTGAAAGCACCATGCTATAGAAAATGGGCTCACATATTAGACATGCATACTAGATTTCAAGGTAAAATAGGCATTCATGGGAAAACTGAAGGAAGAGGAGTACAAATAGTGACTTGGGAGTAAAGCTGCAATGGTAATGTTAAATTGTTTGTTACTACAGGCTGTATTTTTTTTGACAGTTTTACAACAGTTAGTCCTTTTAGTCTACACCTACTGATAAAACTGCTCAATCAACAGTTTAAAGCTAACAAAGTGAGCTTCCTTTTTGGCCTATGATTTTGACTTATCGCTTTTTAAAAACTCTTCAGTAAAAATATGAAACTGTAAACTAGCTGTAGCCTAACTGCAGGTGAACCTACGTCTAAATGGGATGTCTCTGGGAGAGCAGAGCGTTTCACTAGTCATCTGGAAGTTTTGGCAACTTGCTGCTGAATGATGAGGATGCGTGTATCACGGACAAGTGTCAAACTGACACTTTGCAATGGATTAATGTTTTTTTTTTTTGACATCTGAACTGGGGTTCCTGCGTGAATGCTAGCACTGAAATACTGTATATCATAATGGAGCTTTACCTCACAATTTGTGTATTAGCAATGGCTCTTCTCACTTCAATAAGCATGCACATCTAGATGAAAAAACTCCCTGACAAAATGCATACGTTCTTAACCTTTCATCTCAAACTTTAAACTAGTCTGTTTTTGTATACTGACTCCTGAAGCAAACTCATCCTGATTAGACTATCCAAACATGCCAAAGGTAAAACACATTTACAAACAGTACTTTTACTAGAGAAAACTTGTCGGGCTGCAAAATGACCATGCAGAAGTTGTAACCTGAATTCATGAATTCAAGGGTTAGGCTCACATTCTGACTATCAAATGTCATTGATTTCCATCACCAATTCCAAAGGAAAACTGCAGCAAAGATAACTGATCATCTAATGACAGAGCAGCTTATGTCAACAAGTTTGTGAGGTTGTTTACTACTACAGTGCTGAAGTTGGAAAATTTTGGCATTGTCAACTGTTGTTTAATCAGCCCCCGCCATACAGACGGTTAGAGTTACGCTTTAAAAAATAATTCAATGCTGCATTTTCTAGAATATAAACATGCTGTTCACATCCAAATCCGTGATGTCATAGCAGTATTTGCCATTAACATCTGATGGAAAACACCTGTCATCACTGAGGTGTGGCCAGAGGAGCAACATGCAAATTTTAAACCAACAGATAATTGTGCTTGGCAAATGTCCAGCCCTTATATAATTCAGTTTTGAAATCCAAAAAAAGGTTTTTATCCACAATAATCTCGTTTTTTTGAGTTTGGCGACGCCTCTGGCAATGTTGATTTTACGGCTCCCCCTGGAACAAATTATTAGTTTAACAGTGGCTCCCACACAGCCGAACACACCACCACTTTTGCTTTGAGGTTTTTATATAACGTTTATTTTTTACAATGTAAGGGCAAACTGGGATTAAAATTACACACCACCAGACAAAAGTCTAACAAAACTGTAGCTCAAAAACGTATTGCAGGGAGGCTGTGACTGGTCATTTTCAGCCCTAACGTTAATATAATAAATGACGACACCATAAGTTTACAGTTTGGGTCACAGGTGTCCGGTCACACGGTGTTGCAGAAAAGTTGGGTGTATTAACAAGTCAGTCGACTGTGGGTCGAGTAAAAAAATTTTTTTTTACATTGCGTGTACAATCTAGAAAAAAAGTTATAGCCTAAGACACATCACAAAGCTAGGCTGTGCCATCCCGAACACAGCCCTCTCCTAATTTGCATTAATTCACCTGTCACGTCAAATGAGGGAGCGTTTCGACGAGTTGACAAAATGTCAGCAACAGGTGTCAGCGCTCACAATGTCTATCAACAACGGCAACAAAGATAAAACTAAAACAAATTTGAGTAGTTTAGAAAGCAGGTTGTATTTGATAAACGTAAAGAAACCGGTTGGGTGAGTCAGCTGGTTGATAGTTAATCCCACTCCCGTGACCGACCGGCTCCGAGTTACTTGAGTCTCTGTAACTCAGCGTCAGCGTTCAAACACCGACACAATTATAAGAAGCCCCCTCACTCACAAGCACCTTATCGTTTAGTTACCACTTTGTTCGTTTTAAGAGTCTGTCTAAGTTAAGTTTCCTGTCCGTAGGAACTCACCTTGGGACTCGGGAGGAGATGCGTCGCTGCCATCCTGGTCCGCCATTTCTCCTGACGTCAGCTGAGAGGGATCAGAGGCAGGAACCCGAGGAGGGACCTGCTGGACTGAACCTGAGACAGACCGGGCACCCTCTCCCGGACAGGTGGGGGGCGCCACACGCTCACATCAATGTTAGCAACAGAAAACGAGCTGATAATAATAGTTACAACACTGTGCGGAATAAACTTTTCACACCTTAGATTTACTTTAGTTTGGACCTCATAAACTTCATGTAGGCCTTAATTGTGTACCTGCAAGAGCTGAAATCTACTTATATAAAGCAAATTTGGTTCATTTTAGGAATTTTCTACTACTTTAAATATGGATGCTTAATCCTGAGATTGGGCAAGGTGTTCAAATGAAACTACATGGCCTGCAGGTCTATAAAGTGAAGTATTGTGCTGACATCTACTGGCAAAAAGATTATATCAATATGGTGAAATCATTGCCATGGTCAGTTGACAGATTTGAAGTCTGACCCAAGTTCAGTAATATTGTCAGTCATGTCAGTGAATATCAGGTTTGTTTTGTTTTGTTTGTTTATTGAGGTAAAAAAAAAAGGACATCTACAAGAGAAACATAACAAACCAAATGACCAAATGTTCAGAATTAGCAAAACTTTATTGATCCCTGCAGGGAAATTACTTTTGTGAAATTGCTATTATTATATTATACAATAAAAAAGTAATCATTATGAATATACAGTAAGTAAGTAGAAAAACTTATAAATACAAATGTGCAAAAAAAAGTAATGTAAAAGTAGAATCACAGTATGGACAAAGTGCAAAAATGGAAATGTCAAACCAGATTAACAGTGAGTTAACTTTAATTTGCAAAGTTAAACTGAATGAAAAGTGTAATGTAGGTCAACAGTAAATTAGCATTAGTTTAACAGCAGAAAGGAGAGGCACACAGGACCACAGGAATGCAGGACCTCCTGTGGCGTTCAATGAGCACTTAGTCATACTGAGCCTCTGGCTGAACATGCTCTTCTGGCTTTCTAGAACACTGTAAGAGATACAATGGAGAGTAGTTTTGACAGCATCCTCATCTCCGTTACTATACACAGAGCGTCCAGCTCCACCGCCAGGACTCACGAAACATCTGCAGCGTGGTGTCACAGACATTAAAGGACCGTAGCCTCCGCAGGAAAAAGAACCGGCCCATCTGGCCCAGTTCCTGGTCCAGTTTAGTCTAGTGTGCAATTTGCAGTTTCTGTCAGCATATGCACATTTTAAGATTCAGCTTGTGTTCACTATGGGATACAACTTATTTCAATGAAGTCTACACCCTAACACCCAACACAGCTAATTAAGCAGCTGTTCATACCAGTGCCCAGGTCAGAACAGGTACTAGGGATTAAAAGGGCTAAAAATTGCCAGAAAGTGAAATGCAGACATAGTTAACTTGAAGGCCTTGCACATGCACAATACTTTAGATAACATCCTGCAACTTACAGTATAATTACACCGAGTTAAGGTGTGATATTTTGTACCAACAGTGTACCAGTGCAATACGAACACAAGTGGTCAAATGGAATTCAGCCATCACTCATTTTATGTAAATGTATACTTTTATTATGGTGACACGTTAAAACATTTCTCCATGAAATAGGCCTATAATAATGGTGTACATTTTTTGGTAATCCAATGGGTTTTTAAAAGTATTATTTAGTTAAGGAAGTTGGATATTTTTTTCTCAACCCAAAAAGGAGAATTTCATCTTTCTGTTTTTATGTAAGATTTATAATCACCAAATTTCGAGATAGGCCCACATGATTTTCACTGGACAGTGACTAAAGAAACAAATTTATAGCAAAAGCCAGAGGTTTTGACTTGGCAACCCACCAATCCCAAACTATTTATGTTGAATGCATTACTATTATCCTATTCTATCAGCAGAGGGAGCCCTCTTCCTACAATAAAAGTCTTTGACTCATCAGGACTACAGTTAATGTCTTTATAGGAGTTCAATACCTTTCTCATTAGGTTTCACTGCAACATCAATAAGATGTTTAGATCACAAAATTCAGCTAATTGTAAAACTGTTAAAAGAATACTGAAGTGTTATTTAATGCTCAGAATATTTATACATGACTAACAGAAACTCTCATTTCATTCCAGACTGTCACAAATGACTATAAATCTATCAATCAAACACCAAAATCTGTATTTAGCTGAAAATATCAATGAATAATAGAGTGAATATGAATATAAATATAAAGTTAAGATGCATTTCAATTAGACAAAATTAGATGTGAGACAAAAATAAAACACATCACTGTTATTTCAACTAACCCAGTGATATGAGCCAGGATTTACTGTTCCTGGCTGAATGTATGCTAATCTCCACTCATGTCGTTGCTATTTGCCAGACTGTGCAGGCTTACCTCCCGCCTGGACCCCCGGTAAAATGGCTACTGATTGGTGCAAAGGAAACTGCAACCATGGCAACCAGCTGTTTGGCAAATCCTCCGATGGAGGAAGCGGAGGGAAGAGATACTGGCCTGTAGGTATATACCCACACACTGACAAACCGACAGACAAACACACACTTCTGGACATCACGGTGGTGCTTGTTTTTCCAGACACAACCCCCTCCAGATGAAGCCAACCCCCCTTCTTCTCCTCTTTAGTGTGTGTTTTGTGTTTGTGCTTGATGTCTGTTTTTGATTTTTGTTTAGTGCTTGTGTCAGAAGCCTTGAAGGTTATTCATAAGGTGCAGGGTTAAGTCAGTAGGTTGTGGTTAAGCCCTGGAGTGAGGTTCAGGGTCATGTGTGTTTGAGTGTGCTCACATGTCCGTGATGAAAGCCCCCCCCCAAACTGTCTGTAATTGGTTCCCAAGGGAATAAGATCTCTGGATTTTCCCTATACAGAAACAGAGCTTTGATTGCTCATCAATAAATGCTCACCATGAAAAGAATACACACACTTGAGTCTCTGCATGGCACAGAGTATTTACTTGCAGACCTGAGGTGAGGGAAGACAGCTGAAAGAGTTTGTGTTTCGTTACTTGACCTAAATATGTACAAGATTTGTGGGGAATTGATGTCAGACATTTCCACTTTAGGATGCTGATCCTCTGATGATTAACGCTCAGGGCTCTTCATGAAAGACTATAATCGACTGAGAGTGGGGGTGGGCTGCTGAGGAGTAAGCAGATCGAGGAATGGGTTGATTTTGAGGACAAGCGGCCTCCTTTCTCCTCACTGATTCATTTGGATTAATTTGCGCTCTCGCACAGGACCCAGAGCACGGGCCACCAAGCGTCATAGGTCAGATGAGTTCCTAGATTAAGCCGGCTGGTTTAACAAGCCTGATCAACAACACAGAGACAAATCACACGTTTTTATGTCAAGGATCTAAAATTCGGTTTCAGATCTTTCAAATCTTACTAAGTAACATCACATATTCACATCAAAATAAGAAACATAAAAAGAAAGTGAGAATGCCGTATCTTCAAAAATCAGGTGTCATTTAAAATGAAACTTTCGTGGTAATCAAGGTCATTATATCTCGCTGTACCTGTAATTGCATTATTCCCAACAACAAGTGAAGGCAGCTTCGCAGCTAATTATGTGGTGCTGAACAAAATCCAGGAGATAATGAGGTAAACAATGCATAGGCTGCAAAAATTCATTTCAAACCAGCTTGCAGAGACATGCCGCTGTGTTGACGATAGTGACACATCACCACCTACAAAACACTCATCAACAGAAAGCACAAGTCAACAGATGTCGGTGGAGTGGTGAATCCACTTCAGCAACGGATTTCACATGACTCTCATAATCTTTTTCTTGTGTTCAGTGCCTCACAAGACGAGAATGTGTTTGATTTTTCTTTCATTCAGTTTTGCAGACATTCTCATGATGGTGAAATCACACATACGATTCATAATGAAGCACGTTGCTGTAGGCTACAGATTTAACTGCTGTTAGAAACCCACGTTCTGAAACAGGATTTTTTTTTTTTTCAGAGCAGAGATGAAAGGAGATGATTAACAATTATTGTTATTGCCATGATTGCACCACACACATTGGATATAACATACCGTAACCTGGACTTATTTTCCACTTCATGTGTTTATATCTTTTCACTTTTCCTTTAAGACTGTCTCTGCCTGCCTCTGTCTCCCTGTCTCTTTATCCACATATTACCTTTTAAGGAGCAGACAGACAGGACCATCTCTCCATAGCAACAAATCATTCGTGTCATTGATTTGACAACTGAGGCCAGTTTATTTCACATTTATAAAACAAAGGAAACCAGCCAATCAGAGGATTCGTGATGCTTTAACCTGCCTGGGAATACCATTCTGTGGTTTCCTATTGGTCATTGCTTTGCTACTTTGAAAATACAGATCTGTCTTGTTTCTTTTTTCTTTTCATGAGATAATTATTGATTTATCAAACCTCAAATATTGTTTGCAGCTCTAACCTGTTTCTCTTGTTACATACTTCTGTTGCTATTTGTGTACACGAGGCATAAGTATGCAGTCTGTGTTGGTAGCATGATGCTAATAGCCTCTTTAATTATCTCGATCTCTACATAATTCACTAGAAACAGATGGCATAATGGAGAATGATCTGAACTCACCCCCTGCAGAAAGACAGATCCCCCACCAGGACCCCCCCCCCCCCACCCCCCCATGTTGTCTAAATAGACTTGCCCTGCCTTGAGCACACACTTACACACATGCACTCAGCTGTACACTGTAATGCTGTATCTAGGTATGAGACCCTTTACAGCTGACCAATCTCAACCCTCTGGGTATGCACAGAAAGAGCCAATCATGGCAAAGAAAACAAACCTCGAAAACAATGAGTTCATACACAAACAGGCCAGCAGACATATGGCTATGTGACCAAAGTAAATAGTGCTATTAATTCTAAATCTCTGCAACTAATCCCTCGGGTGGCTACAGTGGTATTGTCTACACAGTGTTTATAACAGCAGTGTTTACTGTCTGATATCCTGGCATTTATTGTGCTGGGTAGGCTTACGGGCCGGTTAAACTGTAA